CGTCCACAAGTAACGTTTCCACGTAGGTGTTATGTATGCTAGCAGCAACACACGGAGTTAACTCAATGATACAAACATGGGTTAATGATTAGAGGGAACTGAGTTATTTAGTTTGTTAAAGTTTCAGCTATTCTGTTTACAGTTCTGTTATCAGATTATTTAATACGATTTGTTAAAACATTGTTGTTTCTTTTGATGTGAAATATTATGTATTTAATTTAAATAAAAAGCAATGTTAGTTTTGTTCACAATTTGTTTAGTTAGTTTAACTTATTTTTTTCTCCAAAAGAACCGATAAAAGTACCGTTAAAAGACCGGATCGATAAGCGGTATCGATAAAAGTAGTAGTACCGTTAAAACCTTAACGATACCCATCCCTAGATATGATGTATTCAGACGTTTTATTTCAGTAGAAGTATATAACAAAACAGTAAAAATACTGCATTGGAAATGTTACTTAAAGAAAAGTATAATTAGCTAAATGTAGTTTAAGTATTAAAAGTACCAGAATGTCCACTGTGAGTGTTATAGTATAGAGTATAAATACGAAATTATAAGAGGGTTGTTTTCTTAATTGTTTTATAGATTTCTTGGTTTATAAAAATTTGGAAATATTAGCAACATTTTGATTTACTTTAATAAAAAATCTAAAATTTCTACATAAAAAGTCAAAACTATTAAAACAAATGAAACAATTAAAATCATTGTTTACATTTTTTTTAATTACTTACATTTTTAAAGATGCCAATACATTTTTCCTCTAAAACTTTAAAAGAAATGGTTCTTGTACAAACTCTTGGATCGTTATATTTATAATAAAACATATTGTATATTAATCAAAACATCATATTTTATATCAATTGCTTTTTGAATTGAAAAGTAACTAAAGCTGCCATAAATTTAGTTCAGTCAGACAACACACGTGTTTCTTAATATGTTTATTAGAAGCAGCATATAGTTTGAGTTTGGCGTCTAGGCTCGGGCCTCATCACTCCACAGATTTACAAAGAACATTGAGTGATGATTAGATAACTATCCCCCGAGCCTACAGGTGGAAGCTGGGGTGGAAGCTGGGGTGGAAGCTGGGGTGGAAGCTGGGGTGGAAGCTGGGGTGGAAGCTGGGGTGGAAGCTGGGGTGGAAGCTGGGGTGGAAGCTGGGGTGGTGGTGGTGGTGGTGCAGGCGAGCAGCAGCAACATGAAACACAGCAGCATGAACATGAATGCAGCAATAGCAAGTGAACACAGCAGTGGCAGCAGCAGCATAGCGAGGCAGAGGCAGGAAGACCTGGCAGCTTAAATAGAGCGGCATGTTTAGGAGAATGTGTTTGGAGGGACGAGGTGCGTCACGTGTTAATGTATCATTGGTGCTTGAGTTGACTGCCTGAACTAGCTCGCAGGCTTCGCCCCATTCTAGTGCAGTAGAAGTATGAAGTGTCAGTAAGTAAGTAAGTACTAATGGAGAGTATTATTAAGAGTAAATGTACTCAGTCACTCACGTCCGGGTTCAGAGTTGAGCGGAGAGCCGTTCCTGTACCAGGTGATGTTTGGTTTGGGGAAACCATTACGAGCTTCACACGAAGCGACCTGCAGGAGAGACACATTTAGTATCTTTATTACACACTGTATATAATAAAGTATATAGTATATAATACGTTTATTATACGGTTACATGCCGCTTTCCAGAAGCACGTTGTCCATAAACTACATGTCCCACAATGCATCTCATTTTGTGACATGCGCACTGAAGAGACTTGCAATTATTTGCCCTAGTCTTCTGCTTTCAGACGTAGTTAATCATGAAGTTATGACCCTATCCAATAATAATCCAATGCAGAGGCAATGATGTAATATGACACATTATTTTATATATATTGATATAGTCTTAAAGTCACAACCGGCCCTTTGAGTGCAACCTTAATGCTGATGTGGCCCGCCATGAAATTGAGTTTGACCCCCCTGATCTAGACTAACAAAGGTTTAGTAGCTATTTGTGCACATTCTAATATAATCTATAACAACAGAAAATATGTAAAAATGTATATATATCACAATATATAAAGTGGTGTCTTATGCAGTGAACCAGGTAGTATTTTGGATGTACTGTTTGATACAGTCATAATCCATAAATTGGTGTTGCACAGTTGCAATTTGCACAGCCCGAGCGAGTATAGTCAAAATGTCTCAGTTTGAGAGGGTTACAAATATGTAAATATACTAGTTGTTATGTAATGTCACATTGTAATCCTGCATATTATTGTCATTAATATAAAGTATACAGACCTTAGACGGCAGCTCGTTGGTCACAGAGATTCCTGAAGAGACGCCTTCGATCAGCGGAGCCTCGGGAGTCGCTGAAACAGGAAATAAATAACTTTATTCATTTAGAAGTCACCTATTATACTCTTTTTCAACAATATATTACAGGTCTCAGATATATACAGAGCCTGTCTCTGATTGGCTGAAACCCCAAACAGATCATTGCAGCATCCCATAATCCCCTCTGTTTCAGCCCTGTTTCCAAAGTGCTGATTCTCTGTCTGTTACTTTAGATGAAAATAAGGAGCCCCACCCCACGCCCGCTCTAGGAGGAGATTCAGGTGATAAGGTGGGGGGGGGGGTTACCTTGGTTGCTGATTGGCTAATGGTTACAAAAGCCAAAAAATCGTTATGACATCATAAAGTGGCCAAAATCTGATCAGCTCATTTTCAGACAGGTTTTTATATAAATGGATCAGGACAAAAAGAGAGAGAATCTTTGTTCCTGAAACTTTCAGAATCTCTTAACTACATGTTGATGTAGAAGAGACATGGAGAAGTGGATTTTGCATAATAGGTGACGTTTAAAGTAAATAAAAACATCATGAAACACAGGAACACTTAATTAAGTTGTGATATATATGTTGTAATGTGCATTTACATGCTGCCTTTAAGTTGGATGCCTCTGGTTTTGTTTATGTTTGTTCTGCATTTATGTATAAAATTATAAAATCATCACAGTGAGATATTTCTTTGTATGGTTGCTCCCTCCTCACCGAACACTCGGAGGTGCGTCCTTCCCTCGGCGTTCCCAGCTGAGAGTCCGTTGATCTGGCAGAGGAACTCCCGCTCGTCCTGCAGCCGGACGTCCTGGATGCTGAGCTTTGACCCCCGTCCGTCTGAAGTCACCTCGATGCGGCCGCTGTAGTCCGTGTTGTTGTCGACAATTTGCTGATCGCCGTCTCCGTAGAAGATCCTGATCCTGGAGCTGCTGCCCGACACTCTCTGCAGGAGACACAGGGAGATCACTTTAACATCACTTTACCTGAGGACGCCTCCTTGTTCCTGAAGCGACCTTGGGTCCCTTGAAAGGCGCTATATAAATGCAAGCTATTATTATTATTATTGTTTCCTTCACTGCGTCCTTTACTAATGCTGTCTTATCACCTGTTAGTCAACTTCACTCAGAATAAATCTTTACATTTTTACATTTCTTCATGGATTGTTATAAAGAAATAAACAAATATAAATATAAACAACAAAAATGCTCTAATTGAGCTATTGAATATTATTATTGCTGACTCACCACGAACCACTGGATCATGACGAAGCGAGGCTCTGATTCAACGTCAGTGAAGCTGTAGAGGCAGGGGATCTGAGCCGGGTCGCCCAGGTACGCCTCCACACTCTCCTCCACCTGAACCTCCACCTTCGCCCACACTGTAACACAACAACACAACAACATGTTTAATTTATATAAACGCCTTTCTATGTACTCACACATGCAGAGAAATTAACTTCCTGCAGGTCCCAGATGAACATTGAGTGCTGATATACATCTGAACATCAGCAGGAGAGGACTCTTTAAAGTAGAGACACTACATACTGATATACACCTGAACATCAGCAGGAGAGGACTCTTTAAAGTAGAGACGCTAAATACTGATATACACCTGAACATCAGCAGGAGAGGACTCTTTAAAGTAGAGACACTACATACTGATATACACCTGAACATCAGCAGGAGAGGACTCTTTAAAGTAGAGACACTACATACTGATATACACCTGAACAACAGCAGGAGAGGACTCTTTAAAGTAGAGACACTACATACTGATATACACCTGAACATCAGCAGGAGAGGACTCTTTAAAGTAGAGACACTACATATTGATATACACCTGAACATCAGCAGGAGAGGACTCTTTAAAGTAGAGACACTACATACTGATATACACCTGAACAACAGCAGGAGAGGACTCTTTAAAGTAGAGACACTACATACTGATATACACCTGAACATCAGCAGGAGAGGACTCTTTAAAGTAGAGACACTACATACTGATATAAATCTGAACATCAGCAGGAGAGGACTCTTTAAAGTAGAGACACTACTGTACATACTGATATACACCTGAACATCAGCAGGAGAGGACTCTTTAAAGTAGAGACACTACATACTGATATACACCTGAACATCAGCAGGAGAGGACTCTTTAAAGTAGAGACACTACTGTACATACTGATATACACCTGAACATCAGCAGGAGAGGACTCTTTAAAGTAGAGACACTACATACTGATATACACCTGAACATCAGCAGGAGGGGACTCTTTAAAGTAGAGACACTACATACTGATATACACCTGAACATCAGCAGGAGAGGACTCTTTAAAGTAGAGACTCTACATACTGATATACACCTGAACATCAGCAGGAGAGGACTCTTTAAAGTAGAGACACTACATACTGATATCCACCTGAACATCAGCAGGAGAGGACTCTTTAAAGTAGAGACACTACATACTGATATACACCTGAACGTCAGCAGGAGAGGACTCTTTAAAGTAGAGACACTACATACTGATATACACCTGAACATCAGCAGGAGAGGACTTTTTAAAGTAGAGACACTACATACTGATATACACCTGAGCATCAGCAGGAGAGGACTCTTTAAAGTAGTTACTGTCCACACGATGTAATGTTAAACTGTGTTGAGTTTGGCAGCTGAATGTCAGTCTGCAGAACAGAGGAGAAAAGTCTTCTTGTCCATACGGCATCAATTTCATCTCCCTGCTGCCCGGATAACCACAAAACCACGAGTTGGCCAGAGATCCAGTGTGTGTGTGTGCACGTGTGTGTGTGTGTGTGTGTGTGTGTGTGTGTGTGTGTGTGTGTGTGTGTGTGTGTGTGTGTGTGTGTATGTGTGTGAGGGAGGGAGGGGTGCAGACGGCAGAGAGTCAAGATTTTTTTCAGACATGTCTCAGACTTGGCTGCTGGTGGAGAACAAGTTGGCAGTGGTGGAAAGTAACTAAATACATTTACTAAAGTGCAATTTTGTGTACTTTTAGGTTTTTATTTTAGTATTTTCTTAACTGCCTTTTCATACATTTACAAATATTTTATAAAATACATTTTATACAAAATTAAATTAGGCAATTAATCTGTGAATCGGCATTGGGTAATTTAAGTACATTTATTTAAGTAAAGGAACGTTTAAGAGGGAAATTATCTATTTAATTTGGACAATAACAGCTTTTTAAAGAGATTTATTTATTTATTTCATTTATTTTACTCATTTTTAGTGTTTTTATTTTAATTTCAGATGTATCTGCATTGGGTACTCTGAAACCTTTAACTAAAGTTCGCTCATTATACTTACTTTTACTCAAATATTAGTTTAAATGCAGGATTTGTACTTGTAACAGCTTCTTTACAGCGTGGAATAAGTAAATGTCCAATTACTTTCTACTCTTATCCCCAAAAATCAGCCCCTCATGTTAAGAGGAAATAAAGGTTAATAAATGATGATAAGAGAGGGTTTAAATCAGAGGTATTCAGAATCATTTCATGCCTCACAGAACAGAGGGGGATTACTGAGAGTAGATGTTGTGTCAGAGCTGATTTACTTTTATCAGCTGCAGATTACACTGACAGACTTAATGGAGAAAGCTGTAGTTAAAGTGTGTGTGTGTGTGTGTGTGTGTGTGTGTGTGTGTGTGTGTGTGTGTGTGTGTGTGTGTGTGTGTGTGTGTGTGTGTGTGTGTGTGTGTGTGAGGCAGATAAAGAGCTACACTCGTGTTTTTTTAACCCTCTGTCAGAAACCAGAGCCCAGTCAACCTCTTAGAGATGTCCCGCCCCTTAGCCTACTGTATCACGTAAAATGTGTTGGAAAGCTAGCCAATAGAAGCGGGAGTGTTCACTAGTGATGTCACTATGTTCAGGAAGTAAACAAAGGAGTCCAATGGAGGCACAAAAACCCATAGAACACACAACTGGAAAGGGAAAACCCCAAGAGGCAGAATAGGACCACAACTAGGAAAAGACACTTATTTGGTTTATAAAAAGACAATATGTAGTATTATATCATGGTATTTAAATATGTTAGCCTTCTTAACTGTATAATGTCACAGCAGCTCTCTGTGGACTGATCCTGTAGTGAAGTTAATCTGCAGTTTGAGATGTAATTGTGTTTGTTGTTAAACTCTACCCCTCCTCATTTATCCCCTAACAGTAGGGGGGGAGGGGGGGGGGGGGGGGGGGGGGTCCTGTAGTCCTGATCCTGTCAACACACACTAATATTCTGCAGAGGACTGAGTTTTTTTTTCAGGCACATGTTGAAAGATAGAAGCTAAAATTAGCAGCTGAGCAAACACATGCCTTTTTGTTAATTAGATATTCCTGAAATAAGGTCTGTGGTTAACACAAGCTGTAGAGATTTCCATTCTACGTCATAAAATACGTCAGTAAATACCCCACGGGTGTATTTAAAAATGGTAGTTGCTAACAAGTGTCTAAATTAGAAGACTAAACGTCATCACACCCAACATTAGCCGCCTTTAGCTTAGCGATGGTGACGTGAAGTCATGTGACTGTGCTGTAGTTCCTTAATAGCCCAACATTAGCTTTTTACTTCAGAAATTATTAAATGGTGTTAATATGTGGAGATTATCCTGCTGAACATACGTTTATGTAAGTATCATAAACGGAGTAGCAGAAGAAAAATCACAAGAAAAGCACAAGTGTGACTAATAAATAAAACACTGAAGTAGCTTGGTAACACAAACACATAGACACACACACACACACACACACCTGCAAATGAGACTTTAAGCATGATAGGCAGTTCGTGTTACAGGACGGGTCGGCTGGTTTGGCACACACACACACACACACACACACACACACACACACACACACACACACACACACACACACACACACACACACACACACACACACACACACACACACACACACACACACACACACACACACACACACACACACACACACACACACACACACACACACACACACACACACACACACACACACACACACACACACACACACACACACACACACACACACACACACACACACACACACACACACACACACACACACACACACACACACACACACACACACACACACCCCGGGTCATGTGTTGCTGCAGTCTAAAGTCACAACAGGACAGATAAGGTCCCAGGTTGGCTTTTGGACTAAATCCCCGGCAGCCCCCCCGGCGCTAATCGGATTATCTGCAAAAGTTAGCGGCCCCCGAAGACACGGCATTTTTTACCCCCCGACTTATTCTCCTCCGTAATCTCAGTCTCAAAGTCGTCTCAGAAAACAAGAAGTCTGAGGACGCGATGAACTGATGCTAACCTCTGAGTTTGGATACGTGCAAAACATAAACACAACGTAAGGAAATAAGCTGTTGGAGAAGATAAAAAGAAATCCATCCAATCGTTGTTCAAAATGTCACCAAAGTTGAGCACCGGACAACACTGATTCTGACTGTGTGTGTGTGTGCGTGTGCGTGTGCGTGTGTGTGTGTGCGTGTGTGTGTGTGTGTGTGTGTGTGCGTGTGTGTAGTGCAGGTGGGGGAACAATGGTTTGCCCGTTTGTCTTAAAGTGATGGTCTGCTGAGCAAAGAGGAGGAAGACTGAGTGTTGAAAATGATTGAGGGTGAGGATGGGGGATTGCAGGCTGAATGGGGGAGGATTTGGGGGAGGAAGGGGGGGTCAATGGGGGAGAATTGGGGGGGGGGGGTGAACGGGGGAGGAGAAGGGTGACTGGACTCCGAAAGCTCTTTTCATGCTTCGTCTGTTTCCACCAACGCTGAACACCCTGAAGTCTGGACTCGGTCATTGTGTGAGGGTTTTTTTCCAGAACTGTTCAAATGCAAAACAAAAACAGGGATGTCCCAGTTCCTATGTTTTTAATAAGTCATTAACGGTATGTGTTATTTTTTTACCGTCAAAATATGCAATGTCCCTTTTCTTCTGTATGTTTGTATCTACTTTTACTATTTAATAACGTATTTTTTATGGTTTTAATTCTTTAAATTGTATTTTTATTGCACTTCTTTTTATTATATAGAATCAAAAATATTTAACTTAACATATTTTTTTATGTAGTTCCATTGTTTATATACATATCGTATTCTATATATCTTTGATTGCACAGTATTACTTATTTATTGGTATTTTTTGTATCCTTTATTTGACATTACTACTAGAACCTTTTGAATGGATCACGTGTCACGAAACCCTGTTCCCCTCCAGGATAAAACAAGTTTTCAGATTAAACACCAAATCAAACTCCTCGTACATGCTAACCTACTTGGCTGTAGCCCTGATCCTGATGCATTCTGGGAACTAAAAGCTGTCTTTTTGAGGCTCCTTGAAGGACAGTGAGATCAGAG